TCACCATCATGGACTCCCAAGGGGCCCTCATCAATGTGCCCCCGCCTTTCCTGGTAAGACTGCCGGGGCTGGGGTGGTGGCTGAGAGACCTTGGAGTGTCTGGGCCTGGCCGTGATGGAGCCTGTCTCCCACCCAGGGCCTACCCAGGTTTGAGGCCAGGAAGGCGGTGCTGGCAGCGCTGAAGGAGCAGGGGCTGTTCCGGGGTGTTGAGGACAACCCCATGGTAGTGCCGCTTTGCAAGTGAGGCTGGAGGCCGGGGTGGGTGGTGGGGGTGGGGTGGGGGTAGATGGAACAGCTCCTTGGGGGCTCGCCACCTGATGTCCCCACCCACGCGTCCTGCAGCCGGTCCAAGGATGTGGTAGAGCCTCTGCTGCGGCCGCAGTGGTACGTGCGCTGTGGGGAGATGGCCCAGGCCGCCAGTGCCGCTGTGACGCGGGGAGACCTCCGCATCCTGCCCGAGGCCCATCAGCGGACTTGGCACACCTGGATGGACAACATCCGGTGCGTCGGGCCCTTCCACGTGGGGTGGGTGTTGGCCGAAAGGCTGTCCGGGGCACACCCCCTCACCCCCCACACCCCACACCCCTTTGACTCACGGCCCCCTCCCCCACCACTTGTAGGGACTGGTGCATCTCCCGGCAGCTGTGGTGGGGTCACCGCATCCCAGCCTACTTTGTCACAGTCAGCGACCCGGCTGTGCCCCCGGGGGAGGTGAGAACCAGGCCAGAGCTAGACCCTCGCCAGTGGGAGGGGTCGGGGCCGAGGCAGAGGGCCCCCTCGGCACTCACTCCACCTGTGGCAGGACCCCGACGAGCGGTACTGGGTGAGCGGGCGCAGCAAGGCTGAGGCCCGGGAGAAGGCAGCCAAGGAGTTTGGAGTGTCCTCTGACAAGATCAGTCTCCAGCAAGGCAAGGGCGGGCTCGGGGTGGAGGGCAGCGCTGAGGCTCTGATTCTCATCCCTACCCGCTTTGACCTCTGACCTCTGGCCTCCCTCAGATGAGGACGTACTGGACACCTGGTTCTCCTCTGGCCTCTTCCCCTTCTCCATCTTTGGCTGGCCCAACCAAGTATGTTCCTGAAGGCCCAGCCTGGGATGGGGTGGGAGTCGGGTGGGGGGGGGCTTGGCCCCCTGTCATGCCCTGCTCTGCCCCAGTCAGAAGATCTGAGTGTGTTCTACCCGGGGACGCTGCTGGAGACAGGCCATGACATCCTTTTCTTCTGGGTGGCCAGGATGGTCATGCTTGGCCTGAAGCTCACCGGCAAGCTGCCCTTCAGAGAGGTGTGAAGACTGCCGAACCCGCCCCACAGTCCCTCCCATCCCGTGCCACAGCTGCAGCCGTGGGTGGGCCTCAGCCAGGGCCTCCTCACAGTGATTCTGTGCCCTGGCTTTGCAGAGGAGGGAGTGCCTCTGATGCCCACAAAGGTGCTGAGTGCGCTGGTAGGGACCCCAAAGCCCGAGGTTCAGAATGGGGCAGACTAGATGCAGGCCCTGGGCAGGCACTGGTGTCTGGGTGAGGGGACACATTGTCACGGGCCCTCCCTGCTCTTCCTCGCCAGGTCTATCTTCATGCCATCGTGCGAGATGCCCACGGCCGAAAGATGAGCAAGTCTTTAGGCAATGTTATCGACCCCCTGGACGTCATCCATGGAGTCTCCCTGCAGGTGGGGCCGCACTCTGGGCCAGGCCTGGCAGGGCTATGGGCTGTGGCCACAACTCCTGACCACTCCCACCTCCCCCTCAGGGCCTCCATGACCAGTTACTGAACAGCAACCTGGACCCCAGTGAGGTGGAGAAGGCTAAAGATGGCCAGGTACTGAGGCTGGGCTCTGGGAGTAGAGGGTGGGCCGAGGAGGGTGCGGCACCTCACGACGCCCCCCGTTGACTCCTTCCTACAGAAGGCAGACTTTCCAGCTGGCATTCCCGAGTGTGGCACCGACGCCCTCCGGTTTGGACTCTGTGCCTACACGTCCCAGGGTATGGCCTCCAAAACCTCTCATCCAAGTCCTTCCTCCTTCCCTGAGGCCCACCCTTGTCCTTCTACACCCTGGGCACGTGCCAGGAGGAAGATGGGGAGGACTCACCCTTCACTCCCACCCAGGTCGTGACATTAACCTGGATGTGAACCGGATATTGGGGTACCGCCACTTCTGCAACAAGCTCTGGAACGCCACCAAGTTTGCCCTCCGGGGCCTGGGGAAGGGTTTTGTGCCCTCAGCCACCTCTGAGGTGAGGGCCTGGTAGGCGGCGAGGTGGGCAGCACCCGCACAGGCAGCCACAAGCATGGCCAGTGCTGTGTCAGGATCCTGACCACTGAGTCAGGTGGCCCAGGCCCTGCTTTGGAGGATCCTTCATGTAACTGAAGGGACAGATGGACACAGGTACAGACAGTTACAGTGTAAGCCTGGGGCATTGGGGTCCTCCCTCAAGGAGATGGGGGGGTGCTGTCCTTTCTCTTCCATGTACTTGGCACATGGTGACTTCAGACCTGGCAGGTTCCTGGGATGTAGAGCTGCCCGTGGTTCCTGCCCACCCCTGCCATGGGCTTTTGCCTCCCTGCCCCAGGCGTATGGTACCTCCCAGCTGATAGGCTCTTTCTTCCCAAGCCTGGAGGCCACGAGAGCCTGGTGGACCGCTGGATCCGCAGCCGGCTGACTGAGGCGGTGAGGCTTAGCAACCAAGGCTTCCAGGCCTACGATTTCCCAGCTGTCACCACTGCCCAGTACAGCTTCTGGCTCTATGAGCTCTGTGATGTCTACCTGGTGAGAAGCGGGGTGGGCATGGGGCGGCACAGCCCTGAGCCTCACTTTGCCGGTGGTTGGCACTGAGACCAGAGCCAGCCTCACAGGCACAGTGGGGGCTGGAGGTAGACGTCCCTGAGGCCTATGTTTCCCGGTCACCTAGGAGTGCCTGAAGCCCGTGCTGAATGGGATGGACCACGTGGTAGCTGAGTGTGCTCGCCAGACCCTCTACACCTGCCTGGATGTTGGCCTGCGGCTGCTGTCACCCTTCATGCCCTTTGTGACAGAGGAGCTGTTCCAGAGGCTGCCCCGGCGGACACTACAAGCACCCCCTAGTCTCTGTGTTACCCCCTATCCGGAGCCCTCAGAGGTAAGGGGTATGGCTGGGAGGGGGCCTCTGGCCTGCCCCCCCAGCCTCCCTCACCACTCCTCCACCCTGCAGTGCTCCTGGAAGGACCCTGAGGCGGAAGCTGCCATGGAACTGGCCCTAAGCATCACACGAGCCGTGCGCTCCCTGCGTGCGGACTACAACCTGACCCGGATCAGGCCTGACTGTGAGCCTCGTATCCTCATGCCTGCCTTGTCCCCCTGTCCCCTCAGCCCACTCTGGGACCATCGTCCTGTGCAGTTGCCTCATGTCCTGTCTCCTTGGGGCCAGATCTCTCACCTTCCTCCCTTCCCCACAGGTTTCCTGGAAGTGGCTGATGAGGCCACAGGCATTCTGGCATCGGCAGTGTCGGCCTACGTGCAGGCGCTGGCCAGCGCGGGTGTGGTGGCTGTCCTGGCCCTGGGGGCTCCTGCACCACAGGGCTGTGCTGTGGCCCTGGCATCTGACCGCTGCTCCGTCCACCTGCAGCTGCAGGGCCTGGTGGACCCGGCCCGGGAACTGGGCAAGCTGCAGGCCAAGCGCAGCGAGGCACAGCGGCAGGCACAGCGTCTGCGGGAGCGCCGCGCTGCCTCAGGCTACCCTGTCAAGGTGCCCCTTGAAGTCCAGGAGGCTGACAGAGCCAAGGTATGTGGTATGGGGGGGCACCCCTTTTCCATTTCCCACACCATGTGCTCCCTCCATCGTCAGACCTCGTCCCGTGGCTGCACTCCACCCAGCCCTGGGCAGTGACCAGGGAGCAGATAGCCCGGACCTCCCGAACCGGTGGGGTCCGTGTAATCCCTCCTCTTACACAAGGAACAGCTAGGAGCCAGGGCACAGCCCAGGGTCACAACCACAACGTGAGGACGGAGGCAGACCTAGAATAGGTATCCTGCCTCCCCGCCAGAGCCCTCGCTCCCCATCCCACGTGCCAGGGGCTGGTCTGGGGCCCAGTACAATCGGGAAGCCCAGCGGGCTCACCTGGGATCTCCAGGGAGGAGCAGTGGGGTGAACCACATGGACACAGAGAGAAACGAATGGAGGCTGAGTTGTGAAGCCGTAGTGGCTGAGCAGAGCTCTGTCTATCCATCCGCCTGGAAGCCTGCTCAGGGCAGTGGGTATTGCCATTGCCATTTTACAGACGAAAGCCCAGTGCCTGCGTAGGAGCCTTCGTCCCTAACCCCTGTGTCCTACTGTCCACCTGGGGGCGGGGGCTACTGGCTGGGGCACAAGGCCTCTGAGGCCCCTTTGTGTTTGGGGACTGAACACTGGCAGAAGGCCAGACCTGAGAGGCCAATGATGCTGGAAGGGAGGGCAGGTACTGATGGGGGAGGCTGATGAGAATGAGTGGGGGATGGGCTGGCCATGCTCTCACAGTCCCCAGAATACTCACTGTATATGGCCCTCACCCATCTTTCCAACCTGGACCCCCCTGCCATCGTGGGCATTGTGGGTCACTTGTGTGACTCTGGGCTGTGCCCCCATTCCTTTTTTTTTTTTTTCTTTTTGTGTGCCCCCATTCCTGACCTTTGTCTCCTCTCTTGGGCCTGGGTCCTCACCACCCACCACCCCCTCTCCTTGTCCCACCCGCAGCTCCAACAGATAGAAGCAGAGCTCAAGAAGGTGGATGAGGCCATTGCGCTATTCCAGAAGATGCTGTGATACACCCGACTCCTCATGACCCCCAGTGTCCACCATGGGGTGGCAGCAATAAAATATTTTGCCACAAAACCCATGTCTTATCTGTGTGTGATTGGGGCTGGGTGCCTGCACCCCCAAGAGCCGCAGGCTAGGCTAGAGGCACGGGGTGGGCCAGAGAGGTGCTTCTGTCTGGATCTGCCTCTGGCACTGAGCCAGGTCTGAGTCATGTTGCTCACTCCCTTCCTCCTCCCAGCTCTTCTCCATTCACCTTTGTGCTGCTGCTGAGGGAGGCCCGCCCTGGTGCCAGCTGCCGCTCGCAGCCTTGGGTGGACATGAGTAGAGGGGCCAGGGGCTGCCCGTCCTGCACCACCGTGCCCCTGCCTGGGCCTGCCCCACCCCCCTCCACTGAGTCCTCCTTAGGTTAATTATAACTCTGACCTAAGTGCCCTGTGACACCACGCCCCAGTGGCCCTGCCGGAGACCCAGCCACCAGGTAGGGGAGAGGCCTAGAGAGGGGTTTCAGCCTTCCCTTGGGTGTGTGTGTGGGGGGGTGTCCTAGGGGAGGAACCTCAGTCCCTCTCCTGCAGGTGTCTGTACCTCTATGGCCTCCGGTTGACACCCGAGGGGAGAGGGCAGGGAAGGCAGGCTGGGACCCATCTGGGGCCTGAGGCAGAGCAGGTGCCCCTGGAGACACAGCTGGGCCTGCCCTGGACTCGCAGCTGCTTCCTACTCCCAGGAGCTTTCTGTCCGGCAGGTGCATGTGGCAGCCATGCTTCCTACAGACGTGCCCCTCTCCCATTTGAGCACCTCCCTGCTGCTGCTGCTGCAACTGCTGCACCCTGCATCTTCCTTCTTCCCCAATGTCTGGAGCCTCCTGGCTGCCCCTGGCTCCGTCACCCACCAGGACCTGACTGAGGAGGCGGCACTCAATGTCACCCTGCAGCTATTCCTGGAGCAGCCGCCCCCAGGCCGGCCCCCGCTGCATCTTGAGGACTTCCTGGTGAGCATCCCTGGGTCCTCCCATCCCAGCAGGATTCCCCAACTCCCTGGGACTTCTCCTCCTGAGGGCCATCCTCTCTTCCATGCCTCCCCACCTCTACCCCCTGCAACAATACCCAAGAGTCCTGGTCCAGAACTGCCCCTCTCATATAGGGACCAACACCTTCAATTCCTTGCACGCTTACCCCGAGTGATGGTGGCTGAGGAAACATGGGCAGTGGCCTAATCCAGGGGTCCCTGCCCTCTAACCTGCTCTCACCAGGGCCGCACCCTCCTTGCTGATGACCTCTTTGCTGCCTACTTTGGGCCTGGGTTTTCTTCCCGGCGGTTCCGAGCAGCCTTAGGTGAGGTGTCTCGTGCCAACGCAGCCCAGGACTTCCTGCCAACATCCAAGAACGACCCTGACCTGCACTTCGATGCCGAACGGCTGGGCCAGGGGCGCACACGCCTGGCCGGGGCTCTGCGGGAGGCCCTGGTGGCAGCCAGAGCCCTGGACCACACCCTGGCCCGCCGGCGTCTTGGGGCTGCACTTCATGCTTTGCAGGTGAGAACAGCATGAAACGGTCGGAGGCGGGGGGGTGGGGGCAGGTGGGTGTCTCCACTCTGGGTCTTCCCATCCCCCGGGTAGAGACCTCCCTGCTTAAGAAAGGATGGGGGTGCTGCTTGCCAATGCCCTGAGGCTGGTCCCCAGCTCCCTACCTCCAAGTTGGCAGCACTTCCTGTGGCTGCGGAGAAGCCAGAGGAGGTGAGAGGGAGACGTGGTGTCAGTGGTGGGCCCTGTAGGCCACTGGAGGGCCTTTGGGTGGGCTCTGAGTGCGAAGAGAGGAAACACTAGGAGTCTCCCACATGGGGAAAGCTCTGTTCTGGGCAACGGGCAGAGGGTGTAGAGGGCACTTGGGTTATCTGACAGCAGCAGGGAGGGGGAAGGGGTGGTAAGAGGAGGCTTTCCAGATGAGGGACTCAAAGGAGTGGAGGTAAGGGCTGGAGATCATGACGACAGTGCTTCATCTCCCTTCCTCCCCACAGGATTTCTACAGTCACAGCAACTGGGTGGAACTGGGGCGGCAGGAGCCGCATCCTCACCTCCTCTGGCCGAGGCAGGAGCTCCAGAGCCTGGCACGAGGTATGGCCGTGACCCGGGGCTTGGGGGGAACCCATAGAGCCACATCCTGGCAGCCCACCCAGCCACTGTGTCACATCCTCAGGTCACATAGGATGTGCCATTGCTTCTTCTCTGGAATGACCTGTGAGGTCACTCAGCTCAGCCAAAGGCCAGGTCAGCTAGATAGCCTCCCCAAGGTCACCCGGGCGACAGAGCCAGGACCAAGGTCAACAGACCTCGAGTTCTCTTTCATGTGGCTTCCTTCCCCCAACATGGGATGGAGCAACCAGGACTATCCGTCATAGTCGTCTCTTCTTTCCACCTGAACTATGACCGGAAGCTGCCTCCTGTCCGTTACAAGTTCGCCTCCTGTCCTCGGCTCACAGAGGGCTCAGTCCCCGCAGTACCGGTCTGCATGCTTCTTGGTTTCCTAGCACAGTCCCCGTCCCAAATACTTGGTCTCATCACCAGACCACCTCCAGGTGTTTGCTCAGAAAGCCTAGAAGCGTGCCCATATGCTTTGGGCAGCTGGGGGGTAAGCCCAAGTTCAGGTGGACGGGGCTAAAGACCAGTGGTGGCAGAACCGTGGGCTCTAGGTTCCTGTCCTCCCTTCCAGTGGGCGATCCTACCTGCTCTGATTGTGAGGAGTTGAGCTGCCCCGGGAATTTATTGGACTTGACGCTCCTCACGTCTGGCTACTTTGGATCTCATCCCTCCAAACCTCCAGGTACCAGGCGGAAGTAAGGGGAGAAAGTCACAGCCTTTCCCCTGAGCCTTCCCATAGGGATCTCAGAACTGCAGGCCCTTGTCCCACTTCCTGTGGCATCAGCTCCTGGAAGAAGGCGAGGATGTCAGGAATGGGGTGGGTGGGTGGAGGCCTGCTGAGGTGGCCGTGAAGGTCAGGTGGGGAAGAGCTGCTCACTCAGCTGGGAGGACTTCCCCATTATCCCACGGCAGCTTTTGGGGACTGACCAGAGAGATGAGGGGATCCACTGTACACCATGATGATGGACCCCTCCAGATTTCCTCCAGATTTGGCCTCCACAAAATGTCATCTTTCTTGCTGATCCTTTGCTGAAGAGTGAAAGGTCAGGCCAGCTCAAAAAAGGGCCTCGTTTTCTTAGGAGGCAGTGGCTTTTTTACTTCCTCCCTCCAGCTGTCTTTCCTCAACCCAGGGAAATGTAGCCATGGGGGCCATTTTGACCGGAGCAGCTCCCAGCCACCACGGGGGGGCATCAACAAGGACAGCACATCCCCGGGCTTCTCTCCCCACCACATGCTTCACCTCCAGGCTGCAAAACTGGCCCTTCTGGCCTCCATCCAGGCCTTCAGCCTCCTGAGAAGCCGCCTGGGAGACAGGGGTTTCTCTAGGTGAGTGGCCTCTGTGAGATGTGCTCCCGAATGGGTAGGCGCTCTTGGGAGCTGAGAAGACAGGGTGTGGGGGCAAATGGACAGACCCTTCACCATATCTCCAGCTTGCTCCCCAGGCTGCTGGATATCAGCCCAGCCTCCAGCCTGAGCTTTGTCCTGGACACCACGGGCAGTATGGGTGAGGAGATCAGTGCTGCCAAAATCCAGGCTCGCCACATTGTGGAACAAAGAAGGGGCAGCCCCATGGAGCCTGCCCACTACATCCTGGTACCTTTCCATGACCCAGGTAACTGGTCTGGTGAGCAGAGTGGAAGGAAGGAAGTCCAGGGTGAGGGGTGAATGCCACTGGTGGAAAAATGGGCCTCATGGTTCCACTTCCTTAACAAAATGGTGACACTTCCTGTGGTTGAGTCTTCACTGGCACCTGTGTGCATATCGGAAACAATCGGCACTTCTGGTGTTTCCAAAGTGGTAGCACTTTCCTTATGAGGTTAATCATGATCTGTGCTTAGGCAGGGTCCTCTGCCTCCACGCTAATCAGCCATTCTCAATTCTCGCCGCTTCCTGTAGACAGAGATTGGGATGAAGATGGGGGGTTGGTGGGTGCAGGCTCCTGTGAAGCTAGTTATAGTTTATTTCCTTTCCTGTTGGGCTGGAAGTCAGACGCCCTGACCTGGGTCGACCAGTCACTGTGCATCCTTAGGCTGATCATTTCACCTTTTTTTGCCTCAATTTCATCATCTATAGAATGGGTCAGTACTTGTCTTATCCTGCCTATCTCCTATGGTTGAAATGACCATCAAATAAAATACCTTTAGGACTGAGAATTAGGGATCCCTGGGTGGCTCAGCGGTTTGGCGCCTGCCTTTGGCCCAGGGCATGAGCCTGGAGTCCCAGGATCGAGTCCCACATAGGCCTCCCTGCATGGAGCCTGCTTCTCCCTCTGCCTGTGTCTCTGCCTCTCTCTCTCTTTCTCTCTCTCTCTCTCTGTCTCTCATGAATAAATAAGTAAAAATCTTAAAAACAAAAAACAAAAAACTGAGAATTCCCTAAGGATTGGTGTTGCATCCTATTTACCTGTATAAATCTAATAGCTGGCATTTAAGAGGAGCTTAACACATATTTGATGAAGCTTTGAATAATTAAAAATTTAGTACGTCTTACTGATCAATGCACATTCTAAGATTCACAAAATCAACTCATTTAGTTCTAATGACACCCCGAGGTAAGTACTATTATTTTTCTGGCTTTTCTGGTGAGGAACTGAGGCCCCAGGTACTTTTTATACCTACACACCTACCCTGTAAAGGTCCACTCAGGACCACAGGAGATGCTGCCATTTTGCTCTGGAAATGAGGTCCACTTTCCCCCCAAAGGTCACTAGCCTCTGCCCTGCCCTGTGCATGTAAGTATAAGGGAATACTGTTGTTTCAATAGTCATTCGCCCCTGGAGCATAGCAGGCCTCTTGACTGGGGAGGTCGGCCTAGGCGGGGATGAGGGGATCCCTCTCCTCACTTGCTTCCTTTCTCCCTCCCCAGGATTTGGCCCTGTCTTTACAACCAGTGACCCTGACAGCTTCTGGCAACAACTCAATGAGCTCCATGCCTTGGGGGGTGGAGATGAGCCTGAGATGTGCCTGTCAGCCCTAGAGGTCTGCCTCCCCCACCCTCTGCCCCTCCCCTTCTTCCTTCCTTTCCAGATCCCGCCACCAAGGGGAACTGGAGCCTTCCTGGGACCTGCACCTCCCTCCCCACCTTCAGAGCCTAGTGCCCCTAGCTTCCCTCCAGGGTTCCAGGGTCATATTTCCTTCAATTCTGTCCCCCCTGGTTCTACCTGTCCCCCTGCTGCTGCTGCCATTTTTAATACCAGTGCTTTCCCTTTCTGCCAGCTGGCTCTGCTGCACACACCTCCCCTCTCAGACATCTTTGTCTTCACTGATGCCTCCCCCAAGGATGCCGTCCTCACCAACCGGGTGGAATCCCTGACTCAGGAGCGGCGCTGCAGAGTGAGCACACTGATGGGAGACGCAGCATCGACTGCCCAGGGATACGGGGAAGCCCATGACAACCACCTCATAATGAGGATCACGCCACGCTCTGGTGGCTGAACCAACTTTGGCAAGGGGTGGGACAAGAAGACAATGAGTATAACGTTTCCAGATCCCTTGTCTGATCTGAATTCATATTTGAATCTGTCTCCAACAAACCACTCAAAAGAACTGGAGATCTAGTTGCTAATAATCCACTATGTGGGTGACATAGGGTGACAGTTATAAGGGAAAAGCAACTACTAAGTGAAGGCCTAGGGGCTGTGTCACTGGGAGACCCTGCCGTAGAGTCAGAGGCTGACAGAGACCTTACCATTAGTCATCAGCTCCATAGTGCACTTGGGCACAGGAGACCCCCAATTCTGATAGTAGATGGCACTGGGAGTACTCAAGTACTGGCCTTTCTTTTGGCACAGGTGACATTCCTCGTGACTGAAGACCCACTGAGGGTTCAGGGCCGAGCTCGGCGTGAGGTCTTGTCTCCTCTGCGTTTTGAGCCATATGAAGCCGTGGCCCTGGCCTCAGGAGGAGAGGTCATCTTCACCAAAGACCAGCACATTCAGGATGTGGCGGCCATTGTTGGGGACAGCATGGCAGACCTGGTGAGTATGGCAGCCAGAGGGACTAATGCTTCCAGCTGAGAACTAAGGGCATGGGCGACATGGCCTTTCTCTTTCTCCTAGGTTAGTGGTTTAACACAGCTGTGTTGCCTCAGCAGTTAAAAGGGTGGGAAAGGAAGTTTCTCTCCCTCTGAGATCCATGGCCCCCCACCTTCCACATTGCTCCTTCGGTAGTAGTACTGCCCCCTGTCCCCCAACCTTGGCCTCCAGGAATCTGTCCTCGGGGCTACCACAGGAAGTCCTGCCATCTTGTAAGGAGGGACAAGAAGTGATTGCCTCATCCTTAATCCCTTGCCTCCACTTTGTCATTTACTGTAACTTCATCCCTGGTCCTGTGCCCCTCTCTTTCACCGTAGCCTTTCACGTGTGACTTCATTTCTTTATGTCTCCACCTTTCTCCTGTCTTTGTTCTTTGCCTTATCTGTGTTCACTGCCTTATCTTCTTCTTCATTCTTTGGTTCTGCACATCCAAGGTTACCCTCCCCCTGGAACCTCCTGTTGTGGTGTCTGGGAGGCCACTTGGCTTCAGTGTGGATGCACTGCTCCAGAGGGTCACAGTTCGGATCCATGGGGAGGTCAGCAGCTTCTGGATCAGGAGCCCGGCAGGTACATCCACGAATGTGACTTGAGGCAGAGGGAAGGATGGAGAGTGAAGGGTGAACTACTAAGGGACAGGAATCATCTCATGTGCCAATCTTGCTCTCCCACTGCCATCAGGTGTCTCCCAGGACCAGGAGGAAGGCAAAGGGCCTCTAGGTCACACGCGCCGCTTTGGGCAGTTCTGGATAGTTACCATGAATGACCCCCCACAGCCAGGGACCTGGGAGATCCAGGTCATAGCGGAGGGCATGCCCCGGGTGAGGGTGCAAGGTAAGGAGGGAGATATTCCTGGGAAGGGAGGACAAGGCCGCAGAGCTCAGAGAGCACTGTCAGTGACATTTGTTTTGGCAAGGTCTCTGATTGCCTTGGCCCTCCTCAGCCCAGACAGCCCTGGACTTCCTCTTCTACTTTGGAATTCCCATGGATAAAGGCCCCCACCCTGGCCTCTACCCCCTGGCTCAGCCAGTAGCAGGTACATCTGTCCCCCCACCCCTACTTTCCCATTATCCCATCTATCTAGCTATGAAATTCTCTATTTAACTTTTTATTGAGTTACGGCTTACATATACAGAAGTGTACTAACCGAAGTAAACAGCTGGATTTCATAATGCACCCATGTAACCATTCCTCCCTCAGTTCAAGATTTAGAACATTTCAGGCATCCCAGAATCTTTCTTCACTCTGCCCAACAATGTCACTCAGAGGTAGCACCCTTTCTCCATCCATACTCCCAGGGGTAACCCCTGTTTCCAAAGCCATTCATCCTTTTCTCCCCATGTCCGAATCTCCTGTAGACCATCATCCTCCCCTCCCACCCCCTGTCCCAGGCCTCCAGACCCAGCTGCTGGTAGAGGTGACAGGGCTGGGTTTCAGAGGTGACCCCAGAGATCTTCGGTCGCATTTCTCCCATGTCGTCCTTCGAGGGATTCCAGAAGGGGCTGAGCGGGGCCGGGTGCCCCTGGAACCCATGGGACCACGGGAGCGAGGTCTCCTGGCCGCTTCACTGCCACCCGCACTTCTGTCCACCACGGGCCCCTTCTCTCTGGAGTTGATCGGCCAGGATGGAGAGGGGCATGGCCTGCACCGAGTGGCCCCCCAGCCCTGCACCGTGGTCCCAGTCCTTCTGGAGGTGAGATGCCAGAGGAAGGTGTGGGTGGGGCCAGAGCTGCAGCAGCTCTCCCCTAACCCACCCTCCTCTGCAGCTCAGCAGCTCCCCAGGGTCCCTGGCCCCCGGCAGCAAGGCCCCACTTAGCCTCCATATCGCCAGCTTCTCAGGCCCTCAGGATCTGGATCTTAGGACATCTGTCAACCCCAGGTTCCCTCTCACCTTCAACCTCTCCAGGTACAACCCCCGAACCCTCCTGCTCAGTTCTGGCCCACCTTTTGGTCCCTCCCGCGCCCCCTCGCATGGTGGCCTGGTGCTTTAAGCCCCACCTACACGGCCTCCTCCCAGGGGCATTCAGATTCTCACCTGGCCTGAGACCCTCGGCTCTCAGCTCTTCAGAGCCTGGGCCTTCAGCCCACTGTGTGTCCACTCAACAGGGTTCGCCTGGAACCGAATGAGTCTGTGTGGGGCCACCTGTGGTTGGAGGTTCCGGACTCAGCCGCCCCAGACTCCGTGGTAATGGTGACTGTGACTGCGACAGGTCGAGAAGGCAGCCTAGTGCCCCCAACCCACGCCTTCCTCTGGCTCCTGGTGCTGGCTCCGGCCCCGCAGGTGAGGTACCCCCACTTCCCATCTCAGGCCAGGCAGGGTAAGGGGAGGGTGTTGTGGGCTTAACTTGGGTAGAGACAGCTTGACAGCCTCTCTCCCCTTCTCCCCAGGACCCACTGGCTGCCACTGCCCACGAATCTGGCCCCATCCTCCACTCGACCAGCTCTGTGTCCACTTTGGTGACTCGGGGAAGGGCTGGAGGAGGGCGAGTAGGCATCTGCTGGTGGGGCACAGTTGGAGGAGTGCTGCTCCTGCTAGGCTTGGCCTCCTGGTAACACTACAACCCCTAGAGGAATGGGTCTCTAGTGCTATTTTCAATCTTATCCCATTGCTGAGAGGGTGACATGGGCCTCTGGCCCCCACCTGTCCCAGATGGGATGAAGGTTTTCCTTCTTATGCACTTGTCCCTCTCTTCCTTAGTGAGATTGAGATAGAGGGCCATGGATTCTCCCATAGTACACTTTCTCTAACTCTGGTGGGAACCAAAGCAAATACTCCTTTTTGGAGAAAGTTGGTTCCTATTTCTCCGTAGCATCTCTTTACTCCATTATTTATTCATGCTTTCCCAAGCTCAGGAAAAGGAAAGATGTATGGGGAGGAAACAAAGGTTGGGAGTGGGGTTTATGTATAGAATTGTTCTTATTTGAAATTCTGAAGAAGCTCCTATTTTATTTTTGTATTTAAATTTGAAGGACAGTTTCAGTAAACATATCTGCCCTAGAGAGAGATTCCAAAGAGAGATCATTTATGGATATCATATCAGGGAGAGGAAAGATGAAATGGAAGTTTTCAGTTGCTGAGAAGAAACTTTACACCAAGATGTTTGGACTTCAATTGGCCCATCACCTGGAGCCATTTATCTGTTAGGTCAAGAGGCAGAATAAAGTGACTGGGGGCTCTGGCCCAGGCCTCCCCCGCCCCCCACCACCTCACCAAATGAGGAAACCCAGAGGAGCCTTTACACACGGGTTGGGCCCCCCCGCATCTTGGGGCAGCCAAGCTGGACGGTCTCCCCTTTTGGCTGAATGCCTGCCTTCTGCCTGGACAGCTCCTGGAGAAGAGGAGAGAAACTGTGGGCATCTGTGCTCCCCGCTCCACTAGGGGGCCAGGCTCCGCCCTCCTGCCACCCCCTACAGCCTATCTGTTGCTGCCAGAGGTTCTGCTTCCTTGGCCTTCCCTTCCAGCCCTGGGCAGCATGGGAATCAGCCTTATTTAAGGGATGTGAGGAGAACTAGGAGGGAGGGGTGGGTGGGATTTACTTTTTCCTCTTAAACCAGTGTTGATCCTAGGTCCCCTCTCTACCCCCACTTCCCAAAAATCTAAGCAAAAACAATAAACTCACCTTCTCCTGAACCAGACTCCGCAAACACATGTTCATCTTTTGAATCTGGGCTAACTGGGGGCCATGAGGCTCTGAGTGTAAATCTGCTAGGAAATTCTAAAGGAGGAGTTGGAGGCTGACAACATGGTGAAAACTTGAGGTCCATCTGCTACTCTTCTGACACCACAGGTCATATTTCTTCTCCATCGGGATTCCCTTATCTCAGTAGCCCTCAAGGCAGGTGGGAAAAATCCCCCACTCTCCACTCCCATCTCTTTAACAATCCAGTTCCTCCATCCCTCTCAAACAGCACAGTACCCTTTTCCTTATTTTTTATGGATCCTCCCTGTCTAGTCCTGATCCATTGGAATAATCCAGGCCACTCCCCCATCTCAATGGAGTGATCCTAATCATGTCCCTCTGAATGGAATGCAGACCAGCCTCCTCCAATCCCAACAATGAACACCAACCTAACACTTGGTGGCATCCAGTCATCACAGTGCTTCCAATTCATGATCCCTGCCCATTAACTCTTGCCTTTCCATGGTGGTGTCTGCCGTGTCTGCATCTCCCTGCTCCCCCACACCACACATCAGCCCCGTACCTCACCAAGAGCCCCTAGATGCAGCTGCTGTTGCTGTGCCTCCCTCAAACGGCCCTCAAACCAGGCCTGGCCATGCTCCAGTAGCTCCAGCCCCTGCCACAGGGCATCCTGCTCCCTCTCCAGAGCCTGCATCCTCTGCAGCTGGGAAGGCAAGAAGCAGAGGCTGACTTGCTCCACAGCAGGGCTCTGGGCCGTAGCACTTCCTCTCAACTCTTGGTTGGGTTCACTGGTCACTGAGTGTGAGCCCAGACTAACCACTGAGCACCTGGAAGGCAAGGGGAAGCAGGGGGGAAGACAGGGGCCCTCAAAATTGGCTGGAAATGTGGGACAGATCAAGGCAGTGGGCTTCTCTCACCCAGAGGAAGAAGCTCCGGGCCCCTGGGTCCTGGCGGCTTGTTCCGAGTGGCAGCAGCATAACTGTGTAGGGAGCACAGACGAGGGGCAGCCCACTGGGACCCTGGCTCCCCATGGCTCTGGAGTGGGAAGAGTAGAGCCACGCCCAGTGGCGTGCAGGGCTGGGCCCTCCCCTTCCCTCCTGTGCCCATCCTACCTTGTTTTTCAGCCTCTCAGAGCCTTTCCTGCCATGTCTGAGGCTGGGGTGTTCCTACTTACGGGGAAAGATCATCTCTGTTGGGGCGTAATCTCTTCCTTCTCATCTGCTTTTGTAGGGTCTGTTAAAACAGCTGTGGCTGGTTTTCATGAAGTCCCCCTGGGTGGAACCCAAGGGTCTCCCTACAGCATAGTTATTGTGTGTGTATGTGTATATGTTGAAGTTGATTTGTTTTTAGTAATCTCTAAACCTAACATGAGGCTTTAACCCATGGCCACAAGATCAAGAGTCACACATGAGGTGTGGTTTAGTGCTCCATGTCCCTGTGTTTTTATTTTTATTATTTTTTTAAGATTTTATTTATTCATGAGAGACACAGAGCAAGAGAGAGAGAGTGAGGGATCCCTGGGTGGCACAGCGGTTTGGCGCCTGCCTTTGGCTCAGGGCGCGATCCTGGAGACCCGGGATCGAGTCCCATGTCAGGCTCCTGGTGCATGGAGCCTGCTTCTCCCTCTGCCTATGTCTCTGCCTCTCTCTCTCTCTCTCTCTCTCTCTATCATAAATAAAAAAATAGAGAAAGGCAGAGACACAGGCAGAGGGAGAAGTAGGCTCCATGGAGGGAGCCTGACGTGGGACTCGATCCTGGGGCTCCAGGATCACAACCTGGGCAGAAGGCAGTGCTAAACCGCTGAGCCACCCAGGCTACCCATGTCCCTGTATTTTTAATGAGGCAGGGCAGGACCCTCTGGATGCGGACTACTGCTTGATGTTTCATCTCATTTCTCTTCTTTTGTTTTGTATTAGCTGGGTTAAAGAAACAATAACTTTCTCTGAAGTCAACTTTATTCCCAACATGGAACAAAATTTCCAGGAAAACAGAATTGTGGGTCCAAGGGAGATGAGGAAACAGCTAAAGTGCATGCAGCAGGGCCAAGGAAGGGGTCTCAGAGGATGGCAGTGCCAGCAGGCAGCACTTCCTGACTCATGAAAAGGTCCAGGTCCAAGTTGGGATCTTCCAAATCCAGCTTCAGAAATTTATCCACTAACATCTGGCAACTGATGGGAAAGAGGACAGTGGGATTTATTTATGGCAGAATAGAAAACTGAGTCCCCAGGCAGTAGGGGAGAGGCTGCGGCCCAGGGGGCCCAGGACAATTTAGGGATTTTGGAAACAAATCATGGGTGTTTGAAGGGCAAAGAGGCTGTCTGGGGCCCTGAAAGGGGAGAAGAGCTGCAGAACATGCTGGAAAGAACCAGGACACTGGGCCACACACTCACTTTTTCATTTGCTTCTTTAGCAACTCCTTGACAGGCTTGATGGGTTTCCCACTGCGGATCAAATCTGAGACCTAGTGATAAGAAGGGGGTGGGGGTGGGGAAGGTGGGTAAGAGAACCAGAAATAAGGATCAGAAGTCCCATGGACCCAGAAACCCAGGCCCCTGAGAGGAGCAGGGACAATGGTAGGGAGCCCTGATGGAGGGTTTGACCTCTGGATCTCACCTCCTTGCCACGAGTAAGGAGTTGGTCAGGAAGTCCAGCCTGGGCAGCTGTGTGGGAGGCATGGCTGGTCTTGGCCAAACCTTCACACACCTGATAGAAGAAAACGAGGTCGTCCCCATCCTCACAGGTCTCCATGGTCTTAAAAGAGACAGAAGGGGACAGAGTATCATCAATCACTCTGCATCTGGCCCTGAAACCCTTGGCCAATCCCTGTGGAGAGTGAGAGAGAGGAAGGATGCAGTATTGTGCTCCGGGCACCCCCGTTCTAATGGAGGAGTCTGTTTTGGGTTCTGGCAACTGCTCATCTGAGGGATCCCTAGAGAGCTGGATAGGTATCCTTACCAAATATTGCACAAGGGGCCCCTGTGGCAGCAGCTGGAGCTGAACAAGGCTCAGAAAGTTGGTGGCCACAAAGATGTGGGGGCACGTGGGTCCAAGTGCCAGCCAGTGTCGAAGCACGGCAGCTAGGAGCGCCAACCCGTCCACCTGTGCACAGGGCAGGCATCAGGGTACTGAAGCACAGGCACCCCCGTGTGTACCTGTCCACCTGCCCTAGCCGACCCCATCTTGCACTTCTCTGTTTCTTTTCTGCCCACACACGCCCACTCCTCTCCCATGGCCCAGCGTTACCCTCACGCCCCTTTGTCCTCCCCTCCTTGGCTTCTCATCAGTTTGTCTCCTCACCGTGTTGGTTCCCTTTCCAAATTCATCAATGAGGACCAGGGACTGCTTGGTGGCATTGTTTACTGCCTTCGCCACCTGCTGGGCAGCGGGTGGAAAGGGAGAGTTTCAGTAGTACTCAAGGCCTGTAAGGAACCCGCTGACCAGAGTCTGCCTGTGAGGGAAGCCGCTGTATGTGTGTCCACCCGTCTGGACTGGCGAGACTCGTTTTGTGCATCCCTTCTTTGCCAAAAATGCCTCATGCAGAGCAAAAGTTCAGTAACGTTTTCTGGTATTGATTCTCCCAGTCTCTGAACTTGGTGCTCCCTGCCCCTAATGGAGAAGCATGCAGCAGAGGGAATGTCTTTTGGTTCTGATCCTTTTTCAAGGATAGAGTTCCTTCCTCATTAACACCCTCCCCCAGTCCCACCCCCCTTTGCTCCCTTTGACCTGGTTGAGGTCGATCATGAAGGTGGAGAGGCCCAGTGAGATGGATTCACAGCTATGGATTCGCGTGAAGATGGCATCTACAGCTCCAATTTCGGCTTCCTCTGCTGGCACAAAGCTGCCCACCAGGGCCATGAATGTGATCAAGCCTACCTAAATATGGAGGAGACAGGGTCTGGCACCTGGTGGTGTGGGCCATGGTGAAGGTGAGGCGAGGCTGAGGGGTGAATTACAGATCAAGGAGGGATGGACACCACTTAACAGAAGAGAATGGCCCCCTCAGCTCTCTTTAGAATCAGGCGAGAGGGTGGGGGCGTGGGCAGAGGCACACTTGGGGACAGCATGGACTTATCGAGAGGTGAGGAGAGGCTTTCAGGCCACAGAGAGACCCGTTAGACCACGACTCTCCCTCAGGTAAAGGATGAGAACATGTGAGGAGCAGGGGGTGTGCACCATCGTCTTTCCATGACGGGTCGGGTCGGAACACCAGGGAGGAGTTGCAGGAACCTGTGTCTGCAGGCCAGTGGGAGATGGAGACAATGCAGAAGATGCCAGAGGCCTAGTGTGCCAGGATTCTCCTCACCTGTTTGAGGTATATGCTCTTCCCTGAGGAGTTGGGTCCAGTGATGACTTTGACTCTCCCTCTGTCCCCACCACATTCTGCAGAGTTGGGCACAAAGGTTCGGGCACAGAGTTCCATCAGAGGATGTCTGCAGTGGGTAGAAAGTTCCCTCACACATGGCCTGTGGATCTAGATGAACCAAGCCACCGGAAGATAGGGCCTTTGGGCCCCATGTGCCCCTGCTTCCACCCCCTGCTGCTCTTACCTGCCATTCTGGATCCGGACCCCGAGGAGTTGGGGTGAGTAACGGGGTCTTGAGTAGCCATAGTCGCGGGCAGCACTGGCAAGAGCCAGCAGGACGTCCAGGCGGGAGGCCAGGTCCAACACCCGGGTGAAGACAGCAGCCCGTGCCAGCACCTGACACTGCAGCTGGTGCATCAGCAGGGTCTCCTGGTCTAGGGGTGGTGGGGGTGGGAAGGGAGCCAGGCATCAGCTCCAGGGGAAAATGAAGAAGAGGCAGAGAAGCCAGCAGAGAGCCCTAGAAAGAGGCTTGCAGATACTGAGTCACCCCGAGACATTCAGAGGAAAAGGTGCAGAGCCCGAGTGAGAGAGCAGGAAGAAATGAGCCTCTGAGCTGGTTGCTCCCCTCAAGACTTTGCTTCTCCTCACCCCGGATGTCACAGTGCAGGTCCCCCAGCAGTGCGTCCAGCTCCTTGGTTCGAGCGCTACGATAGTGCAGCTTCCCCTCTGACAAAAACTGGAAACAAGGGCTCAAGTGGGCTTTGCATCCTTCATCTCCATCTCCTCTAACACCCCCTTCAGCCCCAGCCTGACTTCTTTTTTCTTGTAAAAAAAAAAAAAAAGAAAAAAGAAACCTTTTTATTTAAAAACATAGCAGACAGGGACGCCTGGGTGGCTCAGAGGTTGAGCATCTGCCTTTGGCCCAGGGCGTGATCCTGGGGTCCCGGGATTGAGTCCCACATCAGGCTTCCTGCAGGGATCCTGCTTCTCCCTCTGCCCATGTCTCTGCCTCTCTCACTCTGTGCCTCTCATGAATAAATAAAATAATAAAATCTTTTAAAAAATAATAAAAATAGACATAGGAAATTGCATAAAACAAATGTATACCTTAAGGAATTACAATGAGGCAAATACCCTTGTAATCAACCACGTAGGTCATAAAGTAGGTTAAAAAACTAAAATTTTGGTGGCTACTCCAGAGAACCATCCTAATTACACCCCTCTCCGACTCCTCAAAATTAACCTCTCTTCTGACTTTTCTGGGAATCAATTCCTTATTTTCTTTATAAGTTTATCTCTTAAATATTCATTCTTTTTTTTTTTTGAGAGAGAGACAGAGAGAGACAGAGGGAGAGAGAGAGAATAGGGCAGGGGAAAAGGAGCACAGAGGGAGAGAGAATCTTAAGTAGGTTCAACACACATTCTTTTGTATGTAACTGTCCAATTTTCTCAACACCATTGTTGAAGAGACAGTCTTTTCCCCACAGTGTATTCTTTCCTGCTTTGTCAAAGATTAATTGACCAGGGGAGCCTTATTTTAATTATTATTTGAGAAAGAGAGAGAGAGGGAGAAAGAGTATGCACATGCACGCACAGAAGTGGGGCAGGAAGGGCAGACAGAAAGGAGTAGCACTCTTCACAGAGCAAGGAGTCTGACATGGGGTTCAATCCAAGGATCCTGAGATCCTGAGATCATGACCTGAGTCAAAGGCAAATACTTAACCAACTGAGCCACCCACGCACCCCAATAAATAAAATCCTTTAAAAAAAAGATTAATTGACCATATATTAGTGGGTTTATTTCTGGGCTCTCTGTTCTGTTCCATTGATCTATGTGTCTATTTTTGTGCTAGCATCATACTGTTTTGATTACTACAAC